ACCGGGATAAGCTCCGGCCTGATGGGCCACTTGGCTCGCATGCAGACTTTACCTTTACCTTTACCTTAAGGGCCAATATAACAAGACATTTTTGAATCGATATTTCAACCCTCGCTCTTGCAGGTATCTGATTGAGACGTCTAGCCCCGAAAATTTAACAATTATTGAATGAAATTGAGCAAAATATCCTGATTCAGTGTAAGTGACGAGCAGATCAATTATTCGCCGAGGCCAAAGATAAGTTATCTGCGAGACACTGACAAAACACGATATTTTGCGATAACCGTGTTCAATAATGGTTTTATCATTCGATCATCAAGTCTTTTTTAACAAATAAAGAAGCCTAAGCCGTGTATTACACTTTGATAAAACACGACGGGCATTTGATCATGAGAACACGAGGGAAATGAAATAAACACGAGCCGCAGGCCAGTGTTTTCCACATTTCTCAAGTGTTCTCAAATGTCCGGAGTGTTTTATCACAGTGTAATACACGGCTTAGGCTTCATCATTGCTTTATGAGATAGAGGTAATATGGCGAAAAACAATAAAACACGCTTTTTCTATGTTTTATACTCTGATAAAACATGGGTTTTTGACCAATCAGAGAGCGCGCAGGGTCCTATCTATATTACAATCACATTTAAACCACTCTTTGAAAACTCAGGGTAGCGATCTTCCATTTTTAAAAAAGAGAATGGTTGCAATTGCTTATAAGCAAGCCATTATTTGTTGATTTCTGCAGTTATTTGCAAGTCACGTGTTGGGCTCTCGGGCAAATGAAATGAAAGTAAAAATACATAGAATGATAATTAGATTTATTATATAGCTAGCTCCGCGAGCGGGCAAGATGAATCAAATCCTNTAAACTCGCAAAAAAAGAACTTGGCCAATATCCAGCCATCTTGACCTCACGCTTGGTCAATAACCCATATCTGTTGGGCTCAATTGGTCTCTACCGCTTCCGTTAATCAATATACTTAATTTATCTACATTAAGAGAAGATCTAGCTCCACGTAAAGACAGCTGCTAATTGGGGACACAAAAGTACTTTTAAATAGAAATTTGTTTAAAATATTAAACAGCTACAATTAAATATAACAATAAATCGAATACCGTATAACAATCTAAAATATCGAAATAATTGTTCGACCTAATTTATACGGCAGCGTAAAATTAAAAATTGTAACTTCTAACAATCGCTGAAATAAATTATGATCTGAAAAGATCGTGACCTAAAAAAACCTATGTATTGTCACAAAGCGGACTCTAACAGTCCTTCAAGATTCATTGTTCTAATTAAGTTGCCTTTTAAATAGATCTAACGTCTCTGGTTGTTTTAACCCCGTGTTAAATTTAGGCCATAATACTTGTCCCATCAATAAAGTAGATAGCGCGTTGTGCCAAGTTGGCTATAATCCTCTCATATCCAACAAGGGCGAGTGGAATAATGGTTTTATTTAAAACGCTCCTAAAATACAGAAAACTAAACTTAAATAAAGATAAAATCGCCCCCAAAAATCATGCGCACGCTTGCCATTATTTGTAGGGTGTGGTGACAGAGCTGAAAAACGACTGCGCATGCTCATTCGCGCGCGCCGAGAAA